TTCTACAAATAAAGCAAAAACTACTTACACGCTTTCCTGAAAGAAAATACCTCACAGAAAATCAAGGTGCTCAGCAGCTTCTTCAGAATAATAAAACCTTCGACAGCAGTAATTAGCTAATCTTTTTAAAAGATTGCTCCTTTTTTTTTTTTCGATTTCCATAATGAAAAAAATTAATCAAGATCATTTAGAAATCCAGCCAACAAGTGAAATAAAGCTTTAACTGTATTTAAGCACAACAAACAAACAAACAAACAAACACGGAGTGGTAATTTTTAACAGTCATAAACTGAGACCGATCATGACAGCTTGTGTGCTGTAAGATACTTCTTGACTCTCACACCTCAAAACCTATGAAGCAAAATAAGCAAATAAAAGAAAGCAGCAGCAACGGGGCACGTGGGTCTGCAACAGCAACAACAGCAAACCAATAGCATCGACATCAAAACGTTAGATACCAACAAAGACTTTGGCCAGGGCTGAAGGCAACGAGGGAACAGAGCTTCTCAAATAGAAATCAATACCTGAAACCAAAGAGGATCATTGCATTACAAAAACTGTCCTTTTTTTTTTTTCTTGCCTCTCAATTTTTAATGAGCAAAATGTTCACTGTACAACTTAGAAATGCTGCCAATGCCTTTTAAGTGGGGTTTGCTGGTGATTAATGGTATATCCTACTAAAAGCGGGGTAAGAAACAAACTAATGAGAAATCAACAGCTCAAAAGGAAAAACAAGACCCAAGGTGTTCTTCAAAGTTCTACAGTTTAAATCTTCGGAAAAGAAAGAAAATAACAAACCCCCCAAGCCCCCAAACCTACACAAGAAAGAAACCAACAAGCAAACCAAGGCATTTCAAGAGTGTATCAGGAAAAAATTAAGCCTGTTCATATTCTAGTTACTTGTTCTAAATCTTTAAGAAATTACAAGCAAATACCATAATTTAATATCTTTGCTTATATTTCCTAATTAACACACATACTTTGGCAGCTTTGCAAATTGGCTTCAATTCAGCAAAATATTAACCATCTGCCTAAAGCTAAGCACATTTTATACCTTCTTGAAGTCAACTGGAAACAGGAGCATGCATATATGTTAAAAATGAAACATATGCTCTAGTGATATGCCCAAACGGAGCCCTGGTGTTAAGAGGTCTTAAATAATTCATGTTTGAAACCATCTTGAAATTCTTCGGTGAAAGAAAAATACTGGGTTTATCCTAATTTGAGCCACTAAACTTCGGGATATACACATATTTTTTTAAACTAAGTGACAGAACAGACACCTTATCACTTGCTTCAGTCATGCAAATGGATAACCTCACATATCTGACCACATTACTAAAGCCTAATACTGAAGTAAGCACATTATTTTTATACTCTTCGATAAACGATGTATTTCTCTGTTTTGCAGAAGGGATGCAAAAACTAATGAGCTCACCAGCCCCATCACTCATTTGACAGGCTCAAGACGCTTGAACACGTACGAGATGGTTTATTTTTACAGTGACATAAATATATATAGAAACAAATATATTAATATTATATATATATTTATGTACACACAGACACCTTGCCGCGAGCCAACAGGAATCCCTGGAGCCCCATCACTCGAGGCCACTCTCCCGGCGCCCGGGGGCGCATCCCCATCCAGGTCACTGCCCGGTCGCCGGGGCCATTCCCGGCCCCCCCGGCCGCACCATCCCACCGCGGCGGCACACGAGCACGGAGACCCCGCTCCATGCCGGGCTGCGGGACCTCCGCCCGCCCCCCGCCCGGTTCCGCAGGGAGATCGGGGCCATGCCCTCGGGGAGGGTGGGACGGGGGCAGGAGGGGACTCGGTACCTGAGGCCGCGGCGGGGGAGCCCCCGGGCAGCGCCGCCCGCTGCTGCTGCGGGCGGGGGGCGGCGGCGGCGGCGGCGGGGGGCGGCCGCCCCGTCAGCAGCAGCAACAGCAGCATGGCGGCCGCCAGCGCCGGGAGCAGCGGGGAGAGGCGCCCGCAGGAGCCCGGCATGGCGAGCAGCCCCAGGGCAGCGGAGGCATATTGCGGGGGGCCGGCGGCTCCCGCGGCTCCGGCAGCTCCGGCGGCCGCGGCCCCGGCACTGCGGCGGCAGCACCGCCCGCCCACGGACGTGCCGGGGCGGGGCCCGCGGCGGGCGGGGCCGCGGGGAGGGGAGGGGAGGCCGCGGGGCCGCCTCACGCCCCGGTAGCGGGGGATCGCCCGCCGTGCCCGGTTCCTTTCAGCCCCCGAGGAGCGGCGGCGGTCGCGGCGGTCCCAGCGCTCGCTGCCGAGGGCAGGGCGCGTGTGGCGGCCCCGGCGTTGCGGGGCCGGCGCTGCCCGGTGGCGGCTCGGAAAGCGCCTTCGCTCTGGCGCCGGCGGTCACTGAACCGCCGATTCACAGAATCACACAGTGGGTTAGGTTGGAAAAGACCTCCGAGATCATCAAGTTCAAACTGTGACCGACCACCACCTTGTCCAGGCTTTCCTTAAACACCTCCAGCCACGGTGACTCCTCCGCCTCCCCGGGCGGCCCGTTCCAGTGTCTAATCACCCTTTCCATGAAGAAATTCCTCCTAACGTCCAACCTAAACCTCCCCCGGTGCAGCTTTACACTATGTCCCCTCGTCCTGTCGCCTGGGAGCAGAGCCCGACGCCCACCTGGCTGCACCCTCCTGGCAGGGAGTTGCAGAGAGCGATGAGGTCCCACCTGAGCCTCCTCTTCTCCAGGTGAACACCCCCAGCTCCCTCAGCCGCTCCTCATCACACTCGTGCTCCAGACCCTTCCCCAGCTTCATTGCCCTTCTCTGCACTTGCCTTCACGAACATACCCCCACTCCGATTTTACTCATGTGCACCCGTTGTCCTAAAATACGTGTAATGTTTGGCATCAGGACTGTTAATGGGAGTAAACATGTAAATAAGGTAAAGAGATGCCTGTGTGGAGAATCAAAGCTTTAGGAGATACAAATACAGTTATGATGACTGTTAGTGTCATACAACTGGGTGATACTAAATTTTTAATGTATGTTTGAGCAGTGAATATAAACTTCTTTGAAAAGTATAAGATCGCTTGATTTGGCCTTTAATAAGAAAAGACTAGCTAAATAAAATTTTTAATTTTATCTACAATAACATACTAGGCCGAATTCTGTAGTTTTCAGATCGCAGAACATTTCTTCATTGCAGGGAAAAAAAAGAGGAATAGAGTTACAAACTATAGAGGAGTATAAATTTTCCCATACTGAAAGGAAAAACTGCCAGGTCACCGTGCATATTTCCAACACATCTGTTATAAAATCTTCATTGCCATTAACAATTACTTCAAATAAATTTGGGATTGACATAGAATTAACATCCTAATTAACGTCCTCTCACCAAGCTTCCTATTTCAACCTTTTATCTGGGCACTGCAAAGAAAAAGCCTCTGTTTCTGCACAGCCACTGTTACAATTTAAGTCATTTTGGACTCCTTGCAACATTGTGTGGTCTCAGGTAGAAGAAAAGGGTCTACTTGCTCATGCTTTGAGCAATTTGCTTCCTTTCTTTATGAATTTATCTGATGAGTATCTGTGGTATTGAGAAAGGGTGGATCACATACATGTTCACTTCCAAATGTTTGCAGGCTTGGGCTTTTAACAAGATAAAATCTTATTTTGAGAGGAATAGTTGAACCAACTTGGCAGCTGGAACATTTTAAATTAAAGTTGATGACATGAATATGAGCAATTATTCATTTATTAAGGTCCGGGAGGAAAAAAAGTAATCTGTTAAATGTTTCATAAAAGCTCTCTTGCAAATGGCTCCAAAAGGGGGAATAACACATGTGGAAATTAATTGTTTGTACTATATCTAGATCGATTACAAAGAAAAACTAGAGGACAAAATAACACTCATTCCAGCAAAAATATAATCAAGATTATATTTTCTTAACCAACTTTTCTTTGAAAAAGAGATGAAAGCTGATAGTAAGTAATTTATTTCAACTACCTGAGTATTTCCCAGAGGAATTATGTCCAGCAGTAACTCCTGCAGTCTTTCAAGGCTACTCAGATGGGCTGAGAGTACTGACCTTAATTCTTTGTAAGAGACAATATATTGATGAGAAGTTCACACAAATACTTAAAAATTATTTTCAGTTGTTCTCTGTGTTCTTTAAAGTTCTTGAACTGGCAATTTAAAAACATTAACATAGTAATATGTCATAGAGTATTAATGCACCAGTAATTCATTTACAAACTAATTGTCAAAGCATGCAATAAAGTACCATCCACGTATGCAAGGAGTCAAAAATCCAGAGAGTGTAAAGCAGCACAGCTCCAGTGGAGGCAGTGGGGTTGTGTAAACATAAATAACTTCAAGACATGGACAGTTTTCTTCAGGTTAACAAATTCTCTACCAGTGATTAAGGGAACTCAGCAGTTTGGAGTTTTTCTAAAGGGTTCAAAAGTATCAAAATAGACTTCTAAATATGTGTTCTAGCAATGTAGCAAACATGTATGCCTTTATTGTGACACCAAATAGTTACTGCCAGCCCACTCACAAAGGTATGATTGTAAATCAGAAAAAGAAAATGTAATGCTGAGATCAAATTAGACAAATAATACAACAAGAAAAGAAACACTAGTTCTCTGGGAATTTTCCTAACCAAAGGACAAGCTGTCACCATTTTCCACAGTGATATGGCAGCTAAAAAATCTAAAATGTTAATTTGCAGTATATAAAAATTGTTGTCTTAAATCAAATTTTCTCATGGCAGAATATAATTTGTGAATAGATCCTCTTTCTTGCTTGTGATTAGAAATTTTTTTGACTCAAGGTTAATATGTGCCACTTGAGCTGAGAATGTAAAAGTTGTGTAAATGTGATCTTTCAGTATTGAGCAGATATCTTTATATTACAAACATATACTACAAAATATTTGCTGGTGAATTAATGCATTTAAAAAATACACCTCAGATTAAAAAAAAAACAAACAACAAAAACCAAAAACCAAACACAGAACTCCTGTTGATTAAGAGGTATTTTATTCCAAAATTCTAAATATCAGAATCAAGTCAATGCTTACATTTCGCAATTTACCCAATCATAATATTTGGAAATTGTATACATATGTAGAAAAAATACAACCTAATAAAAACAATCAGATTTGCATTAGGATGGAACAAATGGGCTGAAAGGAAAACCATAGCTTAATAGCTATATATTTCATACCAGTACAAAATTAATGTGCCACAATACCCACTTGTTTTGGTTTTTTTTTCGAAAATTTATAACTTAATACAAAATAAGGTGACTTCAAATGTATATTCCTCTCCTTAAATGTACCGAAGACCTTGGAAACAAGTTCAGAGTAACTGAAAATATTCCCATTTATTTTACAAATATTCACTACATGACTAAGAAACACAAAATGCAGCACTTTTGTTAGTGTGTTAAGTTCCTGCTTGTGCAAACAATGCTCTTCTGATTTAATGCACGAGCAAAAACAAACAAACAAAAAAAACAACAAAAAAGGCAAAAAAAATCCATTACAAAGAAATAACATGTTACATTTTCAGCATATTTGTATAATAGCAAATACAGGTTTCCTTCGTGGACTAGAAAAGTAAAACCTGTCCAAGTTTTTTCTGAAGATTCAAATGCTACGTTAAATCTTCAATCACTTTGCAAAAGCCAGGGGTCGAGTTACTCAACTTTAATGCAGCATATCTGGAGAAGGTCATTACATGAAAGGTTAGATTTCCTGTGTTACATTAAAATTCTACACGCTGGGAAAAAAAATACACCAAAATCCTAAATACCATAATCACATATGTAACAGTAGTAACATTACAGATTCAAAACCACTGTTGTACAGCCTCTACTCGAACTTTCCACAATGGACTTAATTGTACCAGTCCTCAATAACTCAATTAGTAATGGATACACTTGAGAATATACATCGTGGTTCACCCAATGTGGGCGATCAAAAACATCCTGTTCTGTTCATTCCTCACCTCAGCTGGACACACCGGGTTTGTTTGTCCTTCCAGACAGTGTAGGCCAACAAATGCCACATCCCTTCGCAGGCAAACGAAAATGAACGACTTGGCAGCCAACTAGAGCTGCTCGTGTGGGAATTAGAACGGAGAGATTCAGTACCAAAGAGTTCCAATCCAACCAAATCCACGAGAGCTGCCCAAGCACAGCACATCATCGTGACCCAAACTGGCATTTGGTCCTGCCAGGAGGCCACTGCCAACGGAGAACCAACGGGTTCTTCCCACCTCCCAGACAGACAAACCACAGCCTTTTTGCTGTGAGGCTCATGTGGGGTGTCTGCCACTCCCTTTGCGTTGTTTGGATTTCCGTTTTGCTCTTATAAAATCCCTTTTTCCCCCCCTCATTAACAGCCGGCAGCGTTGAACACAAAGGATCACGTTGGTCCGGACCAAAGACAAAACCTGACCCAATTTTCACTGCTCTGTGACTGTGAGGGTGTAGGGAAAAAATACCATCAGGGTAACTCCAACAAAGCCAAATGTTGCAAAAATGTAAGTGCAACAGGAATCCTTCAAAACCAAGACAATGCTGATTATGGCCGAAATATTCTCAATATACCCGTGACAGGGTACCTTAAAGATTATTTAAGTGTTAACACAAGTTTAGAAACAATTAAATATTTAAAATATTTCCTTGGAATAAATGCTTTATAAAGAAAGAGCACGTGTAATAAACTTTCTTAAAGTTTCCACAAACACTACGCGAATCAAAGTTCAACACGTAAATCAAAATTTAAAACACAAAAACGGGAAAAATAAAATTATGAACTTGATACAAAAAATTTCCTCAAAGATTTCAAATTATATTGATAAACATAGCCCATACTTGTCTTTACAGTCACGCTTCAAAAAAAAAAAAAGCTTTCTCCACAATTTCATCGTTTCTCGAAAGAGTTGTAAACCTATAAATTAGGTTCCTTGCTTTACATTTTCAAAATATTGTCAGATATAGTAATAGATAATATGCATTTTGTAATACAAATCACTTCACTGATCATGAGATGCTGCAATAATTGCAAACTGGAGTACTTATATAAATTCATATTCCATTATAAAAGATATAGCTCTTTTAAAATGTTTTTATTGTCTAAATAATTACATAGCTGTTGATTCTATATTCATAAAAAATATGCTTCTGAAACAGAACTCTCAAAAGAAGAAGGCTAATTCTCTGTTTCTGTACTTGTATTTTTTTAAAATGCTTCCAGCATGCATCTTATGCACATCAGTTTTCACTCAAAGACATTAATTTCATTCCAAACCACATTTTCTAAAAGTTTCTTTAAAAAATTTCCCATCGTTCTACAATATTTGCTATAAGAATACACCGACACCTGGAAGTCAGTATGAAATTTATACTGACACGAGGACATACAAAGTCTGGAATCTTATTGCTGCCAAATGTTTCCTGCATCCCCACTCGGGAAAACTTCCAGTTCGGAACCTCCCTGAAACACAAATGTTACTTTAACCTGAGTTTGAGGTTTTACATCTGTGTTCACCAAGTAACCTGTACCCCCCTGTGCTCCTGTGGGGTTTTTAACCAAACTGGAAATCAGTGGACGTAAGAGAAGCAACTATTTGCTTTTACTCTCCAGCAGGATGCAGGAAATAAAAAAAAATCACTTAAATAAGTACTACTTTATGTAACTTCAAAAATGGAAGAAACTTTCTGTAAGCTACAGTAGTTGTACCAATAAAATGTACCTTTTTATCCTGAAAGTCAGCAAAATGAGTTTCCAGTTTGCACAGTAAAATGAGGATGCAGTTAGCACTGGAATTAACAGTGCTGCAGTACCCCTTCCATGTGAGCTGGAGAGATCTTGATGGTGCTTCTCTAAAATCAGTTTTTTAATCTCCTTATAACGCCTGGACATGCAAGTAGTCTCATAAATTTCAAGTCAACGTGGTGTGTACATGTAATGAAAGCACACATGTAAGAATTAGAGCTATAATCTGTCTGCCAGTCTCTTAAACCTCTTAACCTACTAAGATTAAGACTGGGTAAACCCAATCTCCCTGCACACAGATAATCAGTTGACAAAGTGTGTGAACTACAAGGAAGTGAAATGCTGTTCTATCAAAGACACATTTTGAGGCCAGGATTAAAGCCTCACTCCTGATGCTTTACTACAGAATTAGTAACAACACTAAAAGTAAAGGCAAAAAATAAAACATTTTTGGCCACACTGAAGACCTCGAAAATTCAGTTAAAACAAAATTACGCCCTACGGCCTTTCATATAAAGTAATCATATCTAAACAAACTGTCTAAAACAAACCCATGTAAATGGATAAATATGCAAGCCTATATCTGGTGTACCTACTGGCCCCCACAGACTTTGTGCTGTCTTCCTTAAGGGCTCAGATGCCATCGTGGTTCAGCGAGTAAGAATGGACTTAACACCAAAATCCATTTGTGGATTTTAAACCTCTGAAAGGATGCAGAAATAAGACTTGAATCAAACTGTTCATTTCAGAGAATTCTGGGTTTAGCAGGATTTGCAGTATTTATGGGGGAGAAGCAGCTTTGAACAAAAACCCCAAGGTACAAAACCAAACCAACTAGATCTTTTGTCCTTTTAAGAGCTTGTCTACATAGAAATCTCAGTGGTGTAAATACAGTAGAAGACTTCCTTTGTGTATGTGGGCTGCACACAGGGAGTTTATAAGGTAATTTATTCCCAGAAGGGAATAAATTACATTATAAACTTCTCATAGATGGCACCTTTGTAACAGTTTATGTCCACTCTAAGATCTGTGCAACAGTTACCTGTGGTTACAAGCTGAACCACCTCCTAATTTGTAGTTACTTGTTTACTGAAGAGCACAGACAATATTCTCGTGTTCTCTCAGAAGTGTAAGAAGCTTCACTTTACTACACCAGTGGTGAGGGAAATAGGCTAAGAATGATGTAAGGCTGTGGCTTTTTAAACCACTGACCTTCGGTAAGGTTAAAGAAACAACAATGAAACAAAATATTTAGTGTCTTTTCTGGTAATGAAATGTACTGAACATAATGAAATGTCTTGTGCAATGAAATGTCTTTTGTGTAGTGGAACATCCAATAAATGAGTGAAAGGAAACAAGCCAATGAAACAACGAATGAGTGAAATCAAATAAGCCACATCAACCTTCTCTTTTCAAATCCTCTCATGTTGCCAGCTCTGCTTTGCCTCATTTGACAAGCTCACTGTTCTCTCAGGGCAGGAGGCAAGGCAGGTGTGAGTGTGGCCAGGATCCACATAGCTGGCAGGTAGCCTGGTTCAAACATTCCCTGTGTTATTCCATCCTGCACTCAGGCACGGGCAACCACAAAATGTGAGAATGAACAACAGCTCCTGCATCAGGTAACCTGTCACAGGGTATTCCCTCCACTGCCAGAAACAGAAACTCAGTCCAAGTAAGATACAGACTTCATTTCAAACCCTGTGGAGGTTTGTCTTGTGGACATTCAGGCTATGGATTTCCTCAGGCATGTCTGTGGGCAGCCACAATCCAACATCTTGTCCCTGGCAGTATGTGAATGAGTCTGTGCTGCCAAGAATTCTGTGCAACACCTGGATCCTGCTCTGTGGAAACACATAGCAGAGTCTTTGGATCTTGCCCTGAATCTTTTCCCTAGGTCCCATAGAAAGGACATCAGCCCCAGCTTCCTATTGCTCATTTTGTGTTTGTAGGCTCAATCCCCACAGTCAGAAACCCAGGGAGAACAGTATTTGTAAAATCTAGAGGGAAACCACAAGACAGATCACTGAGCAGGGTAACAAGAACAGCTATCAGATGTGAATGATTCCACTGAATATTTCATATTTTTTTGAGCAGGAGAAAAAACTCATCAGAGTTAACGGGTCAAAGAACATTCTTCAGTTCTGTAAAACAAGCTACATTCATTTTTTTTTGTGCAACTAACTTTGAAGAGCTAGAAAATGAAATGTAGTGTACTCCAACAAAAATCAACCAAAACTAAACATGTAATGCAACAAGTACCTACAGAAACTGTTGGCTTCAAGAGCAAATGCAGTATCCATGTAGAAATTCATGGAAAGTTGGTATGTGAACCAAAAAAGATGATGTCTCCTGTGTCCCAGCAAGCAAAGTCAAAGCACTACATAGCAGGTGAGTTTTTCTCACCCACCACTCAGTGCAGCTGCATTAGTTGCAGGCATGAACAGAAATTAATACAAAAAGGAGGATTTAAATATATTGCTCTTATTTTGCAGGTGCTGATGCCGAGACCAGCAGCTCTGCAGTTGTGTTTTTTTTGTTGTTGTTGATGGGGAAGCCAATATTTGTAACCAAGATGCAGGCAATTTGAAATTTCAGAATGTCTCACAGATAAAACTCTGCTTAAGCTTCTGATGTTCCTTCCCCATTCTCGTGTGGTTGCAGTTGTTCTCTTTCTTGTTCTTCCTGAGGTGGCCTCACACGTTTGAAAAAGCCCATCTGTGATTAAGAGAATAAAGAAATTGCATTGTGATCTGCCAAATATACACTTCCTTTCTCTTTCCCTCTTAACTGATTATGTTACTTTTATTTCCTACTCCTTTTTTTCCTCATTTTTTTACCTCCAAAGGCAGCAAACACCAGCTGAAAAATTAAACCAAATAAGTCAGCACAATCACAGACACATCCTCTTTTATTCAGCTTCTTCCTGACAAAGCTGAAAAGCTTTTAGTTATCCAAAAACTTCACTGGTTCAGACGATTAGGGGACCAAGGCACTTCTGCAAACCCTTGGCACTCTAAGAAATAACACATCACTAGTAGGGGAAAAAAGACAATACTTACCCTGTACATAACAAACACTAGAACAGCCAAGAGCAGTAACCCTGCCAGGACAGCCAAAATTATAACCCACACGGGCACCGGCATAGGCTGTGGTTGAATGCCCCAGGTAATATTTGTAGTAACCTGACAGAAAAACACAATAAATCACACTCTGCACCCCATGACAAGCTGAGCTCATTCATGCAGTTTAAGTCTTGTGTATCTTGATCCTGTAGACATTATAATCTTAATCCAGTATAAATTACTTTTTCACTCCAACGTGAGTAAAAAGCTACAGATTAACGGTGACATAAAGCCTTCGCTGACCCAAGTTTAATAGGATTTTAAAATTAAATGAAAACGGGGGGTTGGGGTTTGTTTGGTTTTGCATTTTTGCCATCAGTGATAACGTGGCAACATATCTTCTGTAATGTTTGATGATTTTCAGTGAAACTGTAGGAATCTGGAAATATTTGGGAGTGAGAGAAAAATAATTCAGGGCTTTTTGTTTGGGTTTTTTTTTCTTAAAAAGCGGTATTCTTTGAAACAAAAATCAACTCCACAAGGCTTATGAGAGAAAAAAACCAGTTAATAATAGACATTAGGAACCATATTCAAAAATAAATCCATCACAGTCCTTTTCAACCTTTTTCTTCTGACCTTTAAATGCTATAGTGCTTACCAAAAACTTTTAATTTGGCAGCCCAAACAACTGGCCTACATATTCCTTTCTGTTTGCACCCTGTCTGCTTTCTCTTGGAAATCCTCTGGGGCACAGGTGCTTTTTTTGCTCCTCATTCACATAATACTTCATAAAATATAATAAAGGTCCATTATTCAAGCATTAAGTGTTACTATAGCAGAAAACAAATTTCAGGTAAAATATTTCTCTAACAACAATGGCATTAACAAGAACATTAGGACTGTTCACCATCGTTTCTTTTCATTTTCAATTAAGTCTTTCAAGATACAAATATTGTCAACTCTAGTCTTAGTTTTACCCTCAATTTTATGTGTATAACTGAAATAAATATATGAATCATATAGCTGGTAAAATTACAATTAGAGCAAGCCACAAAAATGTTCCTCAACAATAGTTGTCTTTGTATTAGTTTTTAAGTGATTAAGTAACTCAAGCTGGATGTAAATGACTTACAACTGTGGAGTTGTGGATATCTTCAAAGGAGAGGTTCTTATAAGGGAACTCGATAACACTAAAAGAAGCAGATGATTTGAGGGAGTAGGAGTGATTCTGATTCTCCTTCTGTGTGAGAAAAACAAAATTAGTACTGCATGTGGATACAAAAGTCACTTTTAATGTTTCAGAAACAAGGACAGAATATTCACAGTCACTCACATTCATGAAAGTTTGGGTCCAAAGGCGTGATTTTAAATACAATATTGCACTCTTTCCCCTTTCCAGGTGGCCAACTTGACACACAATCTTCAAACAGTCAGCAGTTCCACAGCCCTGCACATAAAAACAGGACAGATATCCCAAGTATGAAAATATCTGAAAAGCCATTAATGGCATGACATTTACTCAATCACATTTACTTTACATACATACACATACCCTATTGTCCTCTTTTCCTGGCAAAGCACCATAAACTATTCCAATACATTACATAACCTGCAGTACCAGATAATTACTTATAGTTTGCAGTTAGAAAAACAGTGATATGGCAACACGTTTGCTTCCTACGACAGATTTGGCCACAACAACCCCATGAAGTGCTACAGACTGGGGACAGAGTGGCTGGAGAGCAGCCAGGCAGGAAGGGAGCTGGGAGTGTGGATTGACAAGGAGCTGAACAGGAGCCAGAGTGTGCCCAGGTGGCCAAGAAGGCCAATGGATCCTGGCCTGGATCAGGAACAGTGTGGCCAACAGGTCCAGGGAAGTGATTCTGCCCCTGGACTCAGCACTGGTGAGGCCACCCCTGGAGTGCTGTGTCCAGTTCTGGGCCCTCAGCTCAGGAAGGACATGGAGGGGCTGGAGCAGGTCCAGAGGAGAGCAACAAGGCTGGGGAAGGGACTGGAGCACAAGTGCTGGGAGGAGAGGCTGAGGGAGCTGGGGGGGCTCAGCCTGGAGAAGAGGAGGCTCAGGGGAGACCTCCTCACTCTCTGCAACTCCCTGACAGGAGGGGGGAGCCGGGGGGGGTTGGTCTCTTTTCCCAGGCAATGATCAGCAAGACAAGAGGGCTGGGTCTGAAGCTGTGCCAGGGGAGGTTTAGGTTGGATATTAGGAAGAATTTCTTTCCAGAGAGGGTGCTCAGCCATTGGAATGGGCTGCCCAGGGAAGTGGTGGATTCTCTGTCCCTGGAGGTTTTTAAGGTGAGACTGGATGTGGCATCAGTGCCATGGGCTGGGAACCACGGCGGGGTTGGATCAAGGGTTGGACTTGATGATCTCTGAGGTCCCTTCCAACTCAGCTGATTCTATGATTTTATGATTATTTCCAGTATTGTTCAGCAAGGCCAGGTCCTCCACGTGGCTGACTGCAGGGTCCACTGACCCTCTGGGAAACACGTGCTGTGAACTCAGCTGTGCCTTGGAGCAGAGGTGCTGCCTGCAGCACTCCCCTCTCCCTCCAGCTGCCCTGTTTTACCAGCCTTGCTCCTTTAATTATCGATTTCCAAATAGCTCCATACAGAAGACTGACCCTGAATGAAGAGCCCAAATTGAGCTTAAAGGGCTTAGAAGAGCTCACCAAGGTCTGCACGTCCCCCTCAGCAGCAGCCAAATCCCTCCGGCTGATGCGATGGTCACGGTTATCTTCCCTGGCAACTGTGTCATTCTTATCATCATCCTTAGAAGCAGAAATCTGAGGTACAACCAAGGGAACCCAAATAATAAATTAGACATTTGCAGACTTCAAGAAAACATATAACTGCAGGTTTCTCTCTTTCTATCCTGGCTGTTCCAACAGCTGTAAATAAAATGCTACTCCTGCCTTTTCTAGATCACTGGTGGAAATTTATACCAGAAGCTAACCCAGAACCTCAGGTATCTTAATTCTTCTTCAACTCAAAACTTTTTCACTGATAGAAAAAAAGATTGCTCTTAGACTGCAACAGGTAATTCAGTTTTGCAGTCTTTAAGACTTTTCCTCAACATTTCAGTTTTAAACTCTGAAAGCACAGCAGTATTACAGCACTGGTACATGTGTACACATGATCACACATACACAAAAACTTTTTTTAACAGGGGCTTGAAGAAGTGTACAGTAGATTAATTAATTATTTCATTAATCCCTTAGAAATTCCCAATGCAAAAATTACAAATTTACATATGGGACTAGGCAGAGCCACACTCCTTGCCCTCTACACAACAAATCTCTATGAGAAAACTCAAAAGAGTTGTAAAAAATATATTACTGCAAATGGTCTAGCAGAAGCAAAGAAGATTTTTATTTATGTATATTCACTAAAGTTGCTTCCTGATTGTCAAAGATACAAGAGTATTATTCTTTGTTGTTCTATACATGGAATTGTTTCCCTGTTTGCTTAAATTTAATATACTGATTTTTACTACTTGTTCTAAACTGTCTTAAAATTCAGCTGTATACACTGACATGTACTACCAAAGAGTGCTGCCTTATTCATTAGCAAGAGACAAAAAACTAACTCAGTGTTAGATATTCTCAGGGATTTGGCTGTTTTGAGGGCTTACAAACCAACCAAACATACCTCATTCCACTCAAAAAAAAAAAAAAGAAAAGTCCTGCTTACCTTAATTTTCAAGGGATTGATTTCCATGTCAGAAGTGCAGTTCATGGGACCATCGATCTCATACTGGACAATGTAGAGCAGTGTGTTGTTTTTGTACTTGTAGGGCCACTGCAGGGTCATCATCACCTTGCTGAATGCACTTGGACCGTTGTTTCTCAGCTGAATATGAAAACAAAATTTACAGATGTAAAAAAACCCACCCAAACAATGCTACTTGCTCTGTTAACGTGCATGAAGTTTGTTATTTGATATTTGAGCAATAGCATCAACAACTTCACCTAAAAGTGCCAGCCAAACTTCAGTTCCCCAACAGGCAAAACTTTGAATTACTTCTGTAATCTGATAAAACTGTAACTTGAAGAAAAGCTATATGGCATTAGGGCTTTTTGCCTTGAATTAATGTAATTTTTCGTTGATAAAACATGGGTTGTTTTTTTTTTAAGTCGATTAAATGAATCACAGCCTGAGCCAAGATACTCTGAGCACGGATACATACAGCAGCAAGTTTCATCAGATAAAGGGTCTCTTAAGTTCTAGGACAACTTTTAGCTATTACTATTCACACAGTTCTCAATAAGTTTTGTTTAATTAAACAATCTAGATTAAAGCTGTGATCGTTCTTGTGTGGAAATTTTAAATACTTGAATTTTTTCAAGGCAAAAAGACTTCACAAGAATGATTTAGAACAACTGCAGTACAACCGAGGATAACTGAATAATTTACAGCCGTGAGCCATTTCCTGAGCAGAAAAAGTTACTTCAGATGTTTTAGCTAGAATTAAAAGCTGAGAAAGCAAAATATGTGTAATTATGTAAGTAACCAGCCCCTTCTGTTTGTTCCACACCTTCTTGCAGACAGAAGTTTTTGACCCAGCACTAAAAAATGACAAGATGACAATAAAGAAAAAAAAAATCATAATTTACTACAGAGAAAAACTACAGCAGAAGATTTAATTTTTATCACAGCACCGTGTCATTGAAATTAGCAGTAATTCCATACCTCATAAATATGCTGAACTAGAGGCCCAATATCCTCTTCTGTTTCTGGGTTCTCCTTCGGCTGCCAGTTTGCAATGGGAAGGAATATGTGATCAGGAGATGACACACTAAAAAGGGGAGCAAAGGAGTTGTTATTATCAGGTATGAAACCATAAACATGGTTTCATACTCTCTAGAGTACCTAAAAAAAATAAAAAAATCAACATGCTTGGAGTGGTTTTTTTCTTCAAAAAAAAAATGTCTAGTAATGGAGGCACAACATTCCTTTTTTGGAATTGATTTTTTAATTATTTAGAATTATTTAAGATCTGAAAATCCGAAGGGTGGCTAGAGAGAACCATGTTGTCTTTATGATCAAAAATTCCCTAAGACTTCCTGAAAATTTATTCAGACCTGAAAGTTCAGTGAATATAAAGAAGAAAATATGCAAATCTCATTAACAATGTTTATTAAAATAGTACCAGTGCTTACCCTCTGATTTCAACAGCTGCTAAAATGGCAAGGTCAGCCTGATAGAATGCTACTGGGCTTAGATTGTCATACAGGTTGGAACTGCAGAGAAAATAAAAGGTAATTTATTAAATAAAGTATTTAATAAAAAAAACAACACACCTTAAAGTAATTCTGTGTAACATCATAACACGACTCGTGAGCACAACTGCTAAAAACCAAGGAGCAGAGTCAAGTAAGTGCTCACCTAAATGACACATCTGATTATTCTGTCTACCTAATCAAACAATTGCCTTTAGAAAGGCCTTCTTAAATCCCCTAATTATTCTTTGCTCCTGCTGTAATTAAAACATACATGCAACAGGGCTTTTCTCTTGACCTGTAATTACCTCACTCTTTTAGAGAGACTCGAGTTGCTCTGCTAGGAACAGTGCCAGCCTTGGAAATGGAGCTTTGTGAGTTTAAAGACAGCTGCCAAGGCCTTTGATCTATTTATACCATTAAAACAGAATGGCAGGTTTAAATTTATTTAATTCTCGTAGGTGAAAAATGCATCTGTGGATGAGAATAATTTAGTCACTACAGCATAAAAAAAATGAAGCCCTAAAAAGGGAAAAAAAATAAAAAAGCTTTTGGTTCAACGTGGGGAAAAAACAAAACAGCTGAATTTGTGCTGTCCACTAAGCAACATAAAACTGTGTTAGGTAAAGATACTCCTAATGATCACACCTCCAAATCTTAAACATCATCTCCAGAAGGTATAAATTCAGGTTTATAAATATCATATAAATATGACAGTGCTGTGCTTCTCTGATGATTAACACAAACACAACTCTTTTGCTCCATTTAATGGTCAGACTCTTTCATGCTGTCTGCTGTGATGGTTCACTGCATGCTGCTTCTGCACTGCCACTTCTGAGAGACTCCCACCCTCAAAATCTATAAAATGTGAAATTCTGGCTTGACATCAGAGGGAATTCAGAGTTCAAACCCCAGTTTTAAAAGAGGGCTGTAAACCCAAAGTCATTCTGTGGCACTGCAGGAGCGCCAAGGCAGCACAATGGTATGTGGGTACCAACGAGTTCTGTGCTTATTTTTCAAACAAATATGAGGCAAAGACCAGGGGATTAGTCCAGAGTGGACCTGAGTAGTTCACAGTCTATTTACTGTGCATGTTTTCCACCAGGTGAGGTACACAGAGATTTCCATACCTTCGGATTTGCAAGTCGAACTTGACAGAGGTGTCCATCTCGGACTGCTGGTGCACACTGAAACGCAGGCCAGCCAGCAGCTGGAGAAAAACACCACCAGGGGTCAGTGGAAGCACCACGAAACACACAATAAACACCTTCTTGATGCTCTTATTATTACAACAATAAACAATATTATTAATATTATGCTTGAGACTCGTGGCCTCAAGAGAGAGCACACATAGAACTGGCAAATAAAACCCGCCCAGTTCTCGAGGTTGGACATGCATCTCGCTCTCTGCAGATCAAAGCCAAGGCATCACTGCCATAAAACAGAAAAGTAAGGGTTACATCATGCTCCTTGCCCTTGCTTCAGCCATTTTTACACATAGCTGAGCCTCCCTGTGTGTTGCAAAAACCACTGCAGTTTAAAGAACAGGACATGTGTAAATGATTCCAAATTAATTACCAAGGTTTGTACTAAGTCGGTGGTTGATAGCTGTTTTAACATCTGTACCCTTCAGCTTGATATACTTCAAAAAACTTTGGAAACAGTTCATCTATATTCATCTATACAAAACCTCCCTTGGAAGAAAAGCATCATCAAAGTGTTTATAATTGTGACTTATTGCATCATATCATAAAATCTGTCAGGTCCCACTGATAGTTTTTTAATTCTTCCAATATCAGCTACATTTGGTGGAATTGTAGAGGCCTCAACTAGACAAAACTCCCTCTCAGTCTTCACAAAATTAAGCAGAAGAGAGATGAACTAGGAGAAAGATGTGCCATGAGCGAACTCTTTATAATATACTGATAAATACATATCAGATAAATATAAAGACAAACTCATGAGGGATCAGAATTCATTAATTCCAGTATTTAATGAACCACTTATTTTGAGTTGCATCATAAAACTCATGACCACTCCTTTCAGCCTTTAATTTATCTGGAAAGTTGAAACCAGCTACCACTGTACTAACCAAACATGTGGGCAGCTAAATGTCAGCTAGATCAAATCTTAATTTCCTGTGAGTAAACATCCTGCCCAAACAATACTGTGATTAAGAGAAATGCCACCTGCCCTCCTGTTTGAGCCACCAGGCACCTGTGGGACCAACCCTCACCTTAGTTCCTGCTTTCATGGGATTTCCCAGGTCACAAACCACCAGGCGAGTCTCGTTCTCTGTTTTAAATGCACAGGACAGTCTGGCTAAAGCCTGCAAGAAACCAGAAAGAAATGTTAAGGAATATGATTCTTTACACCTGGGCACCTGGATGAAATCTGGAGAGAAGTTCTAGATATTCTGCATTAATTTAAATGTAATTTCTCAGCCCTAAGTCAGTCAAAGAACTAAAGTCAAATAAAATCTGAGTGTGAAAGCTTCCCTGGAGCCAAATGGTTTTGACACAAGATAGATCTCTTTCCAAAGTTATAAAAAGAGAAAGTCTAATACTCTTATATTGGTTAGCAATTATGATTTCCATGACATAAAGCATTTCTCCACATGATTCTTTATAACCTGTGTGAAGAACTTTGGCAGTTGGGGAAAGTTTTCTCAATAGGAAAATAAAGATTGAAAGGCAACTGAATCTCCAATCCAAAGACTGGAAGGCAAAATAACATGAGTAATAGAGATAAACTGGAGAACAGAACCAAAGCATGGTCCAAGAGATAAGAAAAGCCAGGAAAAAGATTTTAATGTTCTGTGTAGTCAGGATAACCCACGACTTTCCACACACTTAGGTGGAAGGAGGCCAGTGATACCCAACATCACTTCTTGCCTCACAGCTGCCCAGCTCTTTACCCAGCACATGACAGGCTAAGTCTAAATTAAATTAAATGAACAAGGGCACTGTTCAGCCCAAGACTTGTGGCAGATGAAACAGGATGATCCCAAGAAGCCAGCTGGAATTGTACCTCGTTGTTACGAACAACTCCGATGAAATCCGCTTGGGGCGGGACGACGACAAAGAGCTCTGCTTCGTAGGCTCCTTCCCCTTGGTTCTGAGCACTGACAATGAGGGTCAAGGGGTTGTCATCACCAATGTAGATCTGCTTCTGGTCACTACAAAAACAGGGTAAAAATGAGTTCTGCGTTCACATTTTAAAGGCTACTGAAGTAGCTGAGCCTACAGAAACAAGAGACGTTCTGAAATCGCACCAGGAAATCAGAGAAATCTCAAGGCAGTACCTATGCTTCAGGAGCATCAGGAAAGCTCTACATTGTTTAAAAAAAAAAATCCCATATCTACAATCACAAAAATGGAGCAAATATTACATGCTGTTTTGTAAGAATCCTTTCTACAAAATTACAAATTACAGCAAACCACCGACACCTTTCTGTAAGGAGGAACAGACAACTGCGGGCAGCTAAATCCCTGTGCATGTTTGGAATTACATGCCCACTTTGAAGAGGTACAAGCACTTATTTATAACAAAATTCCACTGCAGAATACAGCCCAGACCTCTGCAGTGGGTTTGTTTCAGATACAAACAGACTGTCTGTCCAAACAATGTATTTTCATTTCACCAGCTACAAGGAAACCCGACTATACCTGCACTGATGTACATACAATGTTTCTGAAGTGTTTGCATGAATGAATGTGTTGGTGAAGTATCCTACATGTGCACATGCTATAGCACTGCACTAAGGGCATAAAAAACCAGGTTATGAGTAGAGATAAGACACTAAGAGTTGCTTTAGGGCATGCAAAGCACAGAATGCTCAGATTCATGAAAGAATTATCACTTAAAACTTGTTTCTTTTTTCCAGGTTTGAGAAAAGATATTACCAATACCAGAAATTGTTTTTTTTCAGAGTGTAACAAGAGAGCCTTGCTCTCCCCTTCCTGCATAGACACATGAATTTGTGACTTTATCTAGTATTAAACAACAGAACAGTGGTACAATGGTAGCCAACGCTGGGTCATTCTTGCTATGCGTGTCCTGCTTAGCAAATGGACAAATAAACATTAGAGTGGAGGCCAGGTGGGAGTGAGGGGTGTGCTCTCCCAGCATTACATGCTAAAGATTTTAGGTTGCAAAGCAGAAAATGAGTTTTCTTTAAAATATATAAGCATGAGTTTAGATAGAACACATTGAGAAGTCCTCCTTATTTCAACACATCCTTCAAACAAAAGTATTACAAGGTCTTGAGTTTTAGAATTCAAGCAGGGAAATTCCTTTTCCTTGTGGTATTTTTCTCACATATTTACCTTTCTACTGACACCTCCAGCTTTGGTTTGCAGATATTATCATCCCCACAGTCCAGCAGAATGTGTGCCTATGCAGAAATCAAAGGCATATTGTTGTAGTAACTCCTGCATCTGTTCCAACATACATTTCCAATAATATTGTTTCACCACCACGAGAAAAAAAAATTCTGAATAGCTGGTTATGAGATATTTTCAGGCCATTAGTCTCAGAAGAGAACAAATGAGTACATAGAGGGCACTGTGCCTCATCCTGCCCCACTGCAATTCTAGGACTAGTGTCTACACCTTAACCATCTTTCCATACTTTGAATAATCTGTTCATATTGGAGTTGCTCCTCCACTATCCTCTTTACAACCAAGTGAAAAAAATTTGTGTAAAGGGCAGAAGTAGCAAAAACTATGTTTATTACCTTAAGAGAACTAGAGGGATAAGCATAATGTACATAGAGCAGCACAGTATGAGCAATGGATGAAACACTCCAAGCCTTCAAGATTAACACTTTCAGTACTACTCTAACTGCTTTTCTCCAGGAAGCTGTTAAATAGGATGTGTGAAAAGGAAGTCCAGTGCTAAAAGAAATTTGATACAGAGAGAGATGAAAAAAACAACCAAAAAAAAAAAATCAAAGAGAGCAGACCAAATTTACAATAACCATCAATATTTCTGTAATCCAAAGACCAGAGCCTAGCTGCATATTTAGATATCTTAATATTTTCAGAAGTCTTAAGATAAATATGAGGTTTGAAGGCTGAGTTCTGTCCCCACAGGCTGTGTGAGCAATATATACCTGTCTGCTCATATTAGCAGGGGTGAACTGGTTGAGGATAGGGTGCAATCCTGTTGCATCTGCAGCTGTTCTGTAATCCAGACGATATTCCATGAAGATAGTGATGGGAGTTAGCTTGTCTCTAAATTCAGATTCATCCTGAGGAAAAGCAATTAAACAGAACAGTTAAAACGCAGTAGGAAAGAGGAGGTCAAAACAACACGAAAACTTCTGAGCTCTTCCCAAACTAGAAAAATCTCCTGTCAGGAAACCTGCAGCAACATTCCTGTTTAACAAATGGAAAACTGGAACATACAGGAATATTCAGTCACAGAACTCTAATAGCAAGGAAACCAAGGGCTACAACAATTCCACACTTTCCTGTCAGGCAAAATTCCGTTGGCTTCCGAGATCCTCACCTTCAGACTTAGGATTTTATTTCTATCCTAAAATCATTGCTTTGGGCTCTGGAGCTGCTGACTTTCATCTTGATAACTTCAGATCATCCTGTTTGTCAAATGTTGATCCTGCCTTTCAGATTAGTTACAAAGCAGCTCTTAGCTTTATGTTAGATCAGTGTAAACTCTGCTTCGTTTCTGAGGCCAATGGAAGTTACTGACTGTAGAACAGCTCATTTCAGGATCTTACCTCAGAACACATCTTCTGTGGGCAGAAACCCATTGATTACATATAGTCTTCAACTGGTTTTGCATCCCATTTAAGGTAACTCCATGGAGGTCATGTATCTTTACTTTCTTTATGAAAATTTCAGGTGGAAATGTGTTAAAGCTTTACTGACACTGAGATCTGAGGGGTCTAATTCTGTGTACATCCCACACACAAGGCAGGTGAAAGAAAGGTTTTACCTATCCTCCATGAATCCTTAATGATTACTGGTATTTTTATTGGGTTATTAGGGCTTTTTTGGGAGGAAAGTATGTAATGTTTATGTTTGATTTATAGGGACTCAGAGATAAATCTCAGCTGCATATAATTTGCATAGCTACACACAGTGTTCCTTCTATTGGGTTACACTTTTTAATTGTGTTAGTATCTGTGCACATTTGTGGGGACTAAAACAGAAAGACTGAGAAAAAGCAAGCTTAATATTTTAACTTTCTTTGTGTCCTCTGTTATTTGCTGGTCTTGGCTTTTTAGCTGCAGATCCATATTTTTCTGTATTTTTTTACCTCCAAAGTAGATGGACAACTATTGGTTACTGAGTTTCATATTCCTTGGAAACCACAATTAATTTGGTGCCTAGATGATTAATTCAAGAAGTTTGCTAACATAATTCTGAATTAAAATTCCAATCCATTTAGGGACCAGGACCTCAGTCCCAGTAATATCAAGTTTCTCCAGCTTTTTTTTTTTTTTTTTTTAACAACTGACACAAGGAACTTGTAATAGACAGGGCATCAAAAACTATTTTGCCTAAAAAAAACCCAAATGGCTACTTACCCTCAAGAAGGCATCGAGTTCTTCGCAGTTCATTTTGCCCCCCTTTGTAATAGTCATGTTTTTGGAGTGGCTGGGTTGTTTGCTGTGGAGAAAGAGAGCTCTCCTTATAGCTCCTTTCTGTTTAAGTTTATCCAACAGCAGCTCCACTTGGAAATCTGCCCAAGGCAAAGCATTTGGGTTAGGCATGTTTCATTCCATTAAACACAGTGCAGATTCCCATCAGGAATGGAGCTGAACACTGATTTCAGCTACAATGACAACCTAGTACTTGCCACTTTTAAAACTTCAAGTTCTTCCAGTGTAAAATCTGTTACTACATTAGTTCTCAAGCACTGTTGCTGTCCTCTGCTTTTCCCTTAAAATCTGGAAACATGGAAGAGCACTGACACATTTATTATTTATAATTGCTATAGAACTGCAAGAACAAAAGTCACATCTTTCCCCCCCAGAAATCTTTAAAGCAATCTTGCATACAGCAATTATATATTTAAACTCTACTGCTAATCTGATTACTTCAAATATTTGATACAGATAATGAAATTCAAAATATGAGCTTTCTCAGATCACAGCACCTCTACACATGCCATAAAGGAAACAAGAAAAAGCTTTTAGAATCAGCAGACAAAACCTGATTGCAGCAGGCTGCCTGCCACTCTACAAAATCTCATGGAGACCACTAAAAAAACCCTTTTGGAACAAATCTTTTCCTGATTCTGATCCAGACAATCTGATGAGAACAAGTCAGTGAAATCAATCTGAAGGTTATGATTTCAACAGAGATGGGAGAAGTCCCCTGTGGCTTGTCTGTATCTCCTAACAATACTTGAATATTCTTGTCTAAAACTCCCCTCAGTGAGAGCTACTCTACGATCTGTAAAATACAAAGGGCTTTCCAACACTAGTTAACCACATGGTTGAACATATGCTTAAAGTATGACCAAATGCCACCAACTTCCACACAACCACAGCCAAAAAACCCTGCTGAAGACAGTCACATAGATGTACTCCTACCGAGGGGCAGGAGTGTGCTGGAAAGGGCAGGCAATTGTTTCAATAATGAAAATAACAGTGACCTGTGCTCATGTCTGCTAACAGTCCACAAAGGCTTTAAGGTTTTGAAACAAGCAGAACTTACTGAGTGAGTTGGGGAGCTTTCCTTTGCCATCCGCTTTTAAGCAGAACTTTACTTTGAAGCTGTTTTGGAGGAAAAGAAAATACTTATTTCACACACTTTTTCTCCCGTTTTCTTCTAAAATTCTTCACTGTTTATTTCTGTTCAAATGTCTTACTTCGTATTGTCTGTTCTTTCAGAAAAAAAATCCTTGTCTCTCTTTTTCCTTATTAGCTGACTGGACTTGCTGAATCCTTTAAAACTGGAAGCTTACAAAAATAAAACCCAAGAAAGTCCCTCCCCTCAAAGGAAAACATAGACACCCTGCTTACCAAGAAACTTTTACATCTCCCAGTGAACAGGCTTTGTTTTCTGGGTTTAGAATGGTTGGATTGACTTCCAGAGCAGCATTTACTCTAATAACTGGTCTAGCCCTGCAAAGAAAACATCCTCTTGGAAGAGCATTCAACACCACATTAGACAACACCCTCCCCATCGAATTGTGAAATACATACAAACACACAATATTTAGTGAAACCGCAAGAAAAACAAATAATCACTGAGCAGAGGAGGGAAAAGTGGGAAGCTTTTCTCTGCCCTTTCATTCCCATCAGTCAGAACACGGACAACTGTGTTAAGAGGAAGTCCTATCTCTTTCCAGCCCTAACAAAAATGTCCCAAAGTGAGCAAGTTTGGATGAGAACATTGGGATTTCAGTGTAATAATTAGCAGCACCCTGCATGTGTCAGAATCTAGGGAACTGTCACTCAGAAAGCCTCGAAGGCAGCTCATTTATATTTCCTCTTGACTATATTGATAATGATGAATTCTAGAGAGCAAACTGTAGGTATACTCAGTGAAAACAGCAGTATAACCTTTTTTTCACCTCCAGCATTTTGGCATGGAGTGGGGCAGCAGAATTTCAGACTGAGCCTGCCTTCTTTTTTAGCTCAAGAACCCCCCTGAGCTTTGCCTCTACTTGCACTTGGGTAGAGGCACAGGATCCTCACCTGTACAGAACAGCCGTGTCAACACCAAAGGCTCCAACAATCAAGTCTAGGAAGAAAGGAGACACATTATTACACATTACCATTTATTTTTTTAAAGTATGCTGTTTGTCAGAGGCGGGTCTGCTATTTGGGTCGAGTGATTTGCAAGTGCATTTGGAGCAAAGGACCTGGATATCCATTTTTGTCCACGTCCGTGGCTCCTTTCAGCGAGTACCCAAAGCTGGGTGGCATCGTGCGAGCGGCCCACTGCCCTTCCAGAATCTGGGATGGCACTGCATTCAAACCACTTGCTCTCCCATTGTAGATGTAGACAAGTCCTCTCTTGTCCTCTCCACCGTACGGTGCAGCCACTGCAATATCTGAAAACCAAGAGAAGAACCATCAGCGTCTCCGGGCTCAGAGTAGGAGATATATTTGTGCTCACATCAGTCAATCCTTTCTGACTTTACAGTTTCAAGGTGTGTCAGGAGGGAGGAAATGCAACCAGCCTTTAAAACCCTCATCAACAACCCGCGTTTGTTTATTTTTTTAACTGGATGCTGTTTTTTTCTAGAAAGTATAAATGTTTAACAAGAACCCTTCACAGACTGGAAGGGAGGGGAAGGAGGGAAAGAAATAGTTCTGCAAGTGCTTCTGCACCTCAGTGACTGACTTGCAGCCAAATCTTATAGATTTGAGATGTTTGTGAGATTACTCAAACAACCAGAATGAGTAACTGTTGGTGCCAAACCACAAAACTAAGTGGGGCTACCTTCCCATTTTGTTAACACGCTCATGTTCCTCTAAAGGGTGTGACGTTTTAATAATTCTGGAAAATTTAAATCATCCTAAACCAATGGTAAATATGAAATTCCAGGCTATCCTGATCATGGCTTGGCAATATGTTTTATGGAGAACTCCCAGTTAGTGCAATTATTCTATCTCTTGAAGTTTAATAAATTTAAGAGTATTCATTTTCCATGACTAATAAACAGTAATAAACAAAATGTTAATTAGACTGTAAGGACAGCTTTAGAAGTGCAAATATGATGTACATTCAACAACCAAAAGTCAAAGACCAAACATGAAACACTATGCAGAGTAATTTCATTTTTCCTTCCTCTTTACCTAAATTTGAGAAAGGCTGATGAAGAGAGTAAGGACTCCACATTTAGTGTTTTGTACTTTTAACTTATATTTACAAACTTTATGACACCAGTAAAAATTCCAATCTTGCACCATACTGTGATGGAAAGTATTTTAATTAATGCTCCCAAAGTGAGGCAGAGCAATAAACAAAACAAACAGACGAAATAACAGCAAAGTAATTAAAAAGAGGCAGCTTTTGCTATGATTTTCTAGCCTACAGTTTATTTCAGATTGAAGTATGATGGAAACATTTTTGGGATAACCAAAACTCTAGTGCCCTGATGAAGTTATCAGCTGTAACCTTTCCAATGTCTTCTGTAAATAGTTGCAGTGATATCACATCTTCACACTGATTCTGCATATTATTAGCAACTAAAAAGGTCCCTTCCAACTCAAACTATTCTATGACATTCTGATCTCATAGAAAATAGATTAAGAGCCACCTGAGGATTTGAAATATCGGCCTATTGTAATTTTTAATCTTTCAGAAAATATTTATCTTGCAAGCAGAATGGAAAGAATGAGCATTTTTGGTGAAACTCAAATTCCTACAACTCTTAAGGCAACACTGGAGTATGATGTGTGTAACAAGGTGTTCTCCCTGGGACTCCTGGAAGTCTCCATCCCAAAACTACATGATTCTTGCCTGTTTCACTGCTCTGAATTCCTAAGTGAAAGTAGCAAGTTCCTAAAGTAACAAGAAGCACAGGCAATGAGTTTGAGAGTCCTCAGCTTCAGCTGTGTCAGACTCAGACTTCTCATCCAATTACTTGCTCGAGACACTCAGCTCTTGGGACAGAAATGAAATATTTTCACCAAACCTTTCCATTTTGAAATGGACTCGTCCCAGGAAAATCACTTTTATCAGAACATTTTTAAGCAGCTCTCTGAAACAAAACCTTCCTTTCAGTCACCATTGTGTTCCTGCAGGAAAAAGTCAGCTTTAAGCAACAGAAACGGGAAAATTCTACTGCAGATGCCCTAACAAGTCAAAAAGGGGAGAGTTGAGCATTTCATCAAAGTTTCTGTTGTAGTTGTCCCTCAGAAAGCAGTGAGCTGCCCAGTGTGCCAGCTCAAGTCATCCATGCTGCAGCTGCAGTGGCATAGTCTCTGCTCGATGCATCCATGGAACTCCTGTTAGCATTCCTGGGAGTAGCACACAAGCATCGAAAGGAGTCTAGACCTCGCTGTCCAACACCCAGCCGTGGCACAAATGCTGAGTGTTTGTGTGCAGAATCCACAGCCAGGGAGGGGGCTGGCTGAGCCCCCTACCAAGGGGAAGCCCTGAGCAATCAGGGATGTCCTACCGTTGAAGCCGTCCTGGTCCAGGTCCCCCAGGGGGGCAATGGAGCTGCCGAACCGCGCGAAGATCTCGAAGCCGTTCAGCTTGGAGGTCTGGAACCCTCCAGAGGATCTCTGGAGGCAAATGGACACTTGGCCGACCTCCTGAAGCTTCCCATCTGAGCCTCGATCCATAAAAAGGGGGGCTCCAATAAACAGATCTGTAAAACTGGGCCAAAGAAGGACAAGGTTCTTCAGTGGCAGCATAAAAACTCATTTTTTTAAGCATCTGATTAACTCAGCACTGAAGTCAATACTAAGATCCAAATTAACTGTCTTTAAATTTCCACTGAAAGTAAATATTTATTGACAGAGTAAGCACAAATATATCAAAATTTAATGCATTTCAAGTATGTGAATGCATATGTGTTAATATAAACCTGCAATTGTTAAAACAAATGCTGAGCATTAGTAAGAGTGTTGTGCAGAGAAACCAGTAATGAAGACAGAAATCTAGATTGTGGGAAAGACTTTTTAATAAAAGCATCTTTTTTTTTTCTTTCCAGAAACAATTTGGGTGGCAGTGGTGAGAGGAGGGCACTTACTTGTCCCCATCGATGTCTGTGGCAGCCACCGAATACCCAAAATAGGCGGCCATCTGAAAAACAAAATTCAAACCAAACTTGTGAGTTGCAGTGATATAAACGCAGGTTTACACAAATTTGTATAGAAAATACCTCAGGGAGATGATAATATAGACCACAACATTTTTTTGGTCTCCTTTCTCCTTGTATTTTCCTTTCTGTTTCTTACTCAGCAAGTAAACAGATCAGTTCCCTTCCCCATTCTCCCCTTTCATGATCCAGTCCTCTCTCCCAACTCTCAAAATAGGCAGCATTTCCTTTATTTAAAAATAAGGTTGGAATTCCTACAGGCTATATAAAATTTTGCTTTGGCAATTAAGCCAATAACACAGAGTATCATATTATCTAGTCCCCTAAATACTGTCTCAACATAGGAACAGGCTCCAGGTCACCCACTACACTCAGTCAAGCTACACACCTGCTCTCCAGTGAAGTTGTACATGGAAGACATGTTCTTCCCATTGTAAATGGACACCTGCACATGAAGGAGCACACATTAGAGCACACCAGCAATATTCACCTTTTGCACTTATTTTAAAGTTGAATGTTTCAAATTTCCTACCATTCCCAGGGTTCTCGCTGCTCTTGGGACTCCCGATACAAAGTCTGGAACACAAAGCAAGACACAGGTAACATTCAGGTCCCAAAGCACAGAGCTGCTCATTCCTAGTGCCTGATGCATTTTCCTGTGCATTGTATCATTTATTTGAAAGATCTGCCCAGCCTATTAATATGATTTTAAGCAAAGCAAGTGGTCTTACCTTCTATGCCATCACCATTGAAGTCTCCAACAGCCACCGAGTAACCTGAACAGACAAGAGGAGACTTTAAAAACCTCATCAAACCTTTCATCTCTCTTCATACTCTTCACAAGACTCTGTGCACAGTCCTCCCTTCTTCTCCTTCTTAAAATGCAATGGAATAAATATTGTGTCAAAGCAGCTTAGACTATGAACAGCTCCAGGAATTTGAGATCAGAACGTGAAAATTTTAAAATTCTCATCCTGGGAATTGCCCTGGTCTATTCCTTGGTTTTTTCTGAACCTGGTTACACATCTATGAAGCTAAATTATGATGGCCCACTCCTCTATGGGAGCCTTTTCATGGTTTTTCTTCCCAAATGTAATTATTTTCCATTTTTATTTTGTTTTGGTAGATTATTTAGAAGTAGCTGCTTTTCAAAAAAACAGCTATGTGACTAACTTCTCACATAAAAATCACACCTTGGTCATTCCCGTGTTCAGCCTGAATCACAGAGCATGAAAAACCATGGAAATATTTCCATTTACTTTGTCATCAGGTGCTTTTTCAGTCAAGCCTGTGGCAAGACAACTAAGGTCCCACCATACATAAACTACTGCATTTTCAGGTATGTTGCTCTTTAGTTTTCTGTCCAATGCTGAGCTAATGGTGCTGCGATTTAAACTGAAATATGAACAGTGCCAGGGAGTTTTCCAGGTACACCTGGGTGTTCCTGTTTCCCACTACCCACCCAAGTAGCTGTCATCAAAAGCAGCACTGGCAGGTCTGGTTGCCAGCTGGTCATCATACTTGGTGCTGTAGACCTTGGAGTCGTATTTAGCCACAATCTCCGTCACTCGATCAGAAATAAGCTGGCCTAAAGAGAGAGAAAATAGCTTAAAACCACAAACAGGAGGTGTGACCTCAGCCAGTAAAGTCACAGGACTCATTTACAGGATGCTGCCTTCTAAAGCAACAACTCTTCCACAATACTGCAGCAGCACCAGGAGGGGTATAAGGGGAACTCTGCGTCCCACCTCAAAAAAATGTATGTACATATTGACAAAGAAAAGCTCTCACTGAAAATAGAAGCTACTCCTACATCTAAGGCAGGACTTAAATGGGAATGCTCAGTTATCATATGCTGATGGCATCACAGAACTGAGTCATTGCTCCCAAACCCCATAACACAAGAGCTTATTTTGGCAGACAGGAGGCCGAGAAGATGACCACAAATGAGGAGAGCACAGTGCATGCCCACATCCTCCATTCTCACTTCACTAGCCACTAGGTGGTGACTGCACTACGTTCTTTACTCTGAGTTTAAAATAAAACTTGAATCATCACAAAAAAATTCTCAGAATAACACTTACTTCACATACAGATTCAAACATATAATGAAGCATAGGGAAAACTATTCCTCCAGCACCTCAGAATGTGGAATTAAAGTTTAGGATGAAAAAATCTAGTTTTTAGGAGTACAGTATTGCCTTCTATTCAGAGCCAAGATTGTTCTTTTCTGGAAGCAGTATGAGAGAATAAGGTAGTTTTGGCAGATGAGGGGTCACTTCAGCCAAAAATGAATACAGGGCCATAATCTATATTGTATTGTAGCTGCAGTTTTAGCTTCAATCATTCCATTCTGTTCAGAATTTAAAGCACAGGACTGGAACAAGCCTCCTGTGCTGCTGCATCTACGTGTAGGCTGGCTTGATACAGAAAGTCTATTAATAAACGTTGGTATTTACATTAAAAGCAGGCAGCAGAGTGTGGCAGACGTGTCCTGATTGCAGCAGCTCCCTCTTTGGAGTGGAGAGCTGTAGCTAAAGGCTGAATTATCCTGCAAATACTGACCAAGTCCACATTTGGAAAGTGTACAGGTAATGCTCTGTGTAAGAAGTGCAGTGAGAGGCAGAACGTGCCCCGTGGCACAAACCAACTGATACCAACACAAAACATCTCTGCTGTCAGAGGAAAATAATGCAGTTCTCTCTGCAGGGGACATTTCCCCTTGAAAATAATGCAGTTCTCTTTAGAGGGGACATTTGTCCTTGAAAATGCACACTTGGTATGTGTATGTCAGAAATTACAAAGCGTGTAGGTTTTGAAGCAAAATATCCTAAAGGAAAACTCATCCTGCTGATGGAAACAAATCCTACCTTCCTGGGAAAATGCCTTTAAAATTATCATGGAGTTACTTAAAAGACAAAGGACATCTACACAATTATTAGTTCAGATTTAATCTGTGGTTGCCCTGATTATTCGGGAGATATTCTGAAGGATGAAGGAATTTCTGTTAGTTTTCTTACTGGCAAAGATCCTGATAGTGATTGGAAGAGTGTGGATAAAAATAACTAAGAGAACAAAAAGAAAAATCAGAGATCAGCTTCTCTGTGATTTAAATAATATATCTCACCTTGCCAGTAAAAACTTCCAGGTCCTCCAAGCAGCACCCTGTCTCCCTTGGAAGGGAAGGGGAGAAAAACCAAAAAGACAGAAAACAAAAATTAGAAACACATTAAGCACATCGAAAATCAAGAGAACATGTCCTATGTTTATGGGAAGGAATCCCATGCATCTACATCACTGTAGCTTCACTGAACCCCCGTACATTTTATTTTTTGAAGGAGTGATTAATTACAAATGCATCTTGCAAACTGTTAAGATAACAAACTACCTGCCTTCAGTGACTTGTGGCTCTGTTTCATCCATTCAAAATTCTAGGCAGAATTATGCTTTTGTTATGAGAGACCCCTCTTACTACATAAATCTAAGGCAACAGGAATACAGTTAGGAGAAAAATTTAGGACTGCTACATGACAACCATAACATGTTTTTAGGTCAGCACCCAAAACTAGTTTCATCTTCTGCCTCTGCCACTTTTCTTAACTTATGATTAGAAAAGTTTAACTCAGAATAACTGTGACCTAATTCCCCCATTCCATATTCCTTGGCCCAACTGCAATCCACAAACCATTTTATGAAACTTTAACCACATTTGCCATCCCAGTGTTGGGAACTTGCTCTGTAAGTATTGGATTAGGCCACAGGCTTTGCTGAATAATTAAAGCACTTATTCAGATTTTAATCCTAAAAAGTCTCATATTCACCACTCAGAAAAATCTAGGTCAGAGATTTGGAGATACCTCAGAGCCAGGCCTGCCCACTCAGTGAGGGTTTGGGGTTAGAGCCTGAGGTTGGTTTTAACTGGGGCTGGAGTCTGCACAGTAGCCCTGAGGGGTGTGTGTAAAATAATTCAAACACTTACAGTCCTATCCAGCATTTTGCAGTTTCCTCTGGAGGAAAAACAAGAGTGGTCTTGGGCAAAGAGTGAAGGGACATGACCTAACCATAAGATGTGAATTACCCAAAAAATAGTCACATCACAAGTAGGACTTGCATGGTCTGGACATGTCTAGACTGTGCTAAACAATTTCACTGTACAACATGAAAACTACAGTAAGTTCTCAGATCTGTGCACAGTTTTGTTGTGCTTGGATTTAAGAAGTAATCATGAATTTAAGAACAACAAAAAAGAACTCTAAAAGGCAGGGAGAGCACGAAAGGAGAAGAAACTTAAGTGCACTTCTGCTGGCTGATGAGAAAAACAAACATGACCCACAAGAACATTGTTTATTATTCCTGAAGAAGTAACACTACTGTGCACCAATCCCTTCAAAGGACATGTCTCAAAAATCCTGACTAGTGCAGCTCCAGCAGAGCTGCATGGAAGGGAGATGGAAAAGCAGATTATTTGCTCGGGACGTGATTCCTACAGGAGGTGAAAGTGTGCTGCTGTGAAAACACAGGCAGAAACAGGTTTAGAACAGCTGTTTGAGTGGTTTGAAGCTATTTTTGTTCTATTTACAGATTTTGTTTGGTTGTGGGGTTTTTACATTTGGCTTCATAATAGCTGGGCTTGTCAGTGCTCTGCATCAGGGGTGTTTTGTCTGCTGACCCACAGGAACTGAGAAAGAACCACATACCTTTGTAAAGTCAATACTAAATCCACCTTGACAAAATCCCTGCCCATCTGCATCAATAGTTGCTGACAAAAAAAAAAAAAAAAAAGGATAGAAAAGAAAGAGAAGAAAAATAAATAAGTATTATCAGTACTAGATCAGATGATTCTGTGGATGCTTTTCTTCCTAAGTAAACTTTCTCTCCTGAACTTGAACCTTTACTCCTAAATCAGTATTTTGTCTTTATCCACAATTCACAACCAAATGCTGTAACAACTTCAGGTCTGGCTACCTTTAACACTAACATGTGTTCTAGCCTGCCACAGTCAAAGTGAACAGCAACTCCATACTCCTTTTCCATTTCATCTTCAAAATTTAGGGGGAAAAATATTTGCAATTTATATTCAGAAAATAAGGTATATGGAAAACAGGGAACAAGCTTTTCTTTTGGTATGGAATAAAAATCTGAATTGGCTTAAAACAAAAAAGGCATACCTGGCTGAAAAAAATATCTCTCTACTGAGACTCATCCCAGCAAGAATTGTTATGACTGAGTTAATCTTAGGATTATACAGCTCTAGAGTAGAAATGTTGAGGCCCCCTTATCTGAAAGTGTGACTACTGAACTAGCATGATTTAGTTTAATATATGCTTATTTAACTTCTTGTTATGTTGGACCGCACTGGATTTTATTCCTGCGGTTAAAAAATGACTTTCAGCAAATAAAAAGACAATCCTAGCTTCAACATTCAACTTTTAGACTTTTGTATTTTAAAAAAGGCTCTAAGCCTCTGAATAATCTACCAGCCCAACCAGAAGACACGGATGCAAAGCACTTGGAAAATAAGACTCAAAATGTTCAACAGTTAATATAATTAAAACAATGCATCACTATCTGTGTATGTGTACACACAGTTCAGAAACTACTTGTGCAAAACCTCGTCTTCTAAAATGAGCTTGCACTTGAAAGTACTTGAGTGACAATATAATACTTGAGCTTCATAAAATTTTAGGGTTGGTCTCTGAAAAAGCACTTGCTACATAATTTTTCTTGAATGATTACTACAGAACTGGTCCCTTGGAAACCAGAAGTCCTCAATTCCAATGACACTTGGATTTAGGATGTTCCCCCTAGAAGAAAGCACCTTGAACAGCAACTGAAGGAGGATTCAGGTGTCTGGGTCTAGCTTAGGTTTTGTTCTAATTGCTACATGTGGAAGGGGGCAATAACTCTAAAACTTTAAAGTGCACACGAAATATGACACAAGAAGAATTCCAAACAGAAAAGCAGCACAGGTGCTCTGGACTTACTTGACCTGCAGGGAGCATATTCCACGAATTTCGACCCAGCAAGCAGGTAACAAGTTCCTACAGGCTCTCTCTCTTGTTTTGTTTCAGTTCTCCAGTGGTACAGTGGGGCACAGGCCTAGGGAAGAACACAGAGCAATGAGGAAACAAACTCCTTTTCCAGATGCAGTGGGGTAGAGAATTCCAATTTTCTATGGAACAGCAACAAAAAAAGAAAAAAAAAAATTTGAGAGATGTATCATGTGCTATTAGAGGAGATTTATACCTCCAGCACTGGGGCAGCAGTATCACCAGTTTGTACTTTGTAAATAGACAATTTACATCAGGAACTTCAGAAATAATATTTTGTAAAGAGTTCATCGAGAATCTATAACACATTCTAACTTCATCAAATTAACTCTACTACTTTCCTTAAAACAAGACAAAAATGCTACAGCCTTTGTTTATAAAGAGTTAAGCAAAGCCTAGCTAAGAAATCCTGAAAAAAAGACAAGTCATGCTGATTAGTGTGATTTTGTTTAAATTCTAAGTTATCTTTTCACATTTTTTCCACTACAGTATCTCTGCACTGAGGCACTGAAAGGGCACTGAAAACCCACCAGAATTTTATCATTTTGGGATCTCACAGAGGCTCCAAACCACTGATGAGACTTAAATTCCAGCGGATCATCAGGAGCGAAATCTCTGTTACCTACAAAAAAAAAAATAAAAAAGAAACATAATTTCACAGGAAACCACACAATAAAATGGAAAAAAAAACCCCAACCAAACAACCAAACCCTAAGTCATTGGTTTTGACACATACAGTGAAAATCATAAAGCAGTAGCATTGGAGGATATCACCCTTTGATGGAAAAAGGTTTTATCAAGGATTTATCACTCTTTTTTACATCTAGGGCCAAATGCAGCCATTTTTACATGTGAAGCATTAGTGCAAGGCTGGTTTGTTGCAAGAGCAGAAAGTTTAAAGAGTGTTTGAGAGCGACACAGTAAATACCTCATACTTGAGACAACATCTGACTTCCAAGCAGATGACAGCACTGCTCCAGCAGTGCCAAAGCCCAGTCAGGACTAACACTTCTGGAAGAAATATTGCCCCCATGGAATCATGTGAGGTCTGCCTTTGGCTGGAACAGGGACTGAGATTCTTCCCCTGTTCTGGTGACAACATCTCGACTCTGGATGTCACTGCAGTGCACAGAGCACAGCAACTTCAATCATCCAGTGTTTCTTGTGTACTTCCATCAGAAAACTGATGGCAGCTTTGCCAGCCTGATGAGAAAATGACTGTAACACTCTGAAAAACATATCTTAAAAGTCCCCTAAATCACTGGTTTCCAGAGCCTGAAGCTACAGGAACAGATGAGATCAACAGCCATAAGTCACTCCCAGACTGCCAGGGGGATCCCCAGACCCAAGCCCATGATGAATCAGAGACCTGTGACCACTTGAATCCAAATTTCCTTGCTGGTTTTACACCTTGTAAAGAATGTTTTGTCTCCAGAGACTGTGTTACTTCCTTTAGGAAAATCCCATGAGAAAGACAAAAGAGATTCTAATCCACCCACTCAGCCAAAACAAGCAAATATCTGGACTATTTTTGCACTCAGGTTAGAACCAGGCAGAAACCACTGCCAAGGGTGTTGCAACCAGAGAACTGTTGTGGGGGTTTTATTCTAATTTCATCAAAGGTGATTAAAAACCCCATTTCCTTCTGTTGCCCTCCCTCCGCTCTTATTGGACTGGTGTTAAAGACACGGAGGGTCTGATGGATTAGCACATCTGCACAGATTTCTGCACCTTGAACATTTACACTCTCACCCTTGCACAGACCAAAATGTGGTTTGAAGACTTGCAAGTCACCTTCTCAAGGTTCAGGAAACCAAAACCAGATCAAGATGCTTTCCAAAAAGGGAATTTTCTTCAGCACACCCAAATCCCGGTGTTTTATCACCTTTTTTTTTTTCCATTCCTCCAATCCTCCTCAGAAAACATTCTGCTGGAGGAGAGTCCAACCCTGCCTGGGGAGGGAAGCAGTGCTAACCTGCTGGGGAGAACCAGGGACTGGGAACCAGATCAGGGACTTCAAAATTGTTAATTCATCTTGTAACCACACCCAAGGTTACGTAGCCCTGAAAAGACACATTTGGCTTCTGCCCTCTACTCCTCCAGCTCCTCTTGGATACAAACAGATCTCTCGGTTTCACTCGCCAAACAAAGCTTTAAACAATGTAAAACTTGGGAATAATTACAGAGGGACGTTTTATACTTTTTCCTACTGTTGCACACTTACACAACACTAGTTATCTATGACAAAAATGAAAGCTGGTGTAACAGTTCCCCTGTCCTAGGCACTATGAAAGTGCCTAGGATGCCAACTTCCCATTTAAATTTAAAGGCAGCAAGTAAAAGGAAAGGTCATTGCAGCAGCAGCCATTTGGCATTATCAGCAATGTGATTTTATCACAGATGTTCAGGAAATTAGTTCCTTCCAGTTTCAGCTGAACACGTCACCACAAAGCAACAATAAAAATGAAAATAAAAATTGAAATTATAATTAAAGAAAAAAGACAAGAGTACTGGTTACTGGTGCCCCCCCTGCCCATAGTCTGTGCTGACTACACTGAAGAAGAGGGGAACCAGCAGATTAACCAGCACCTGCTGCCAAAACATCCCCTCTGTGCCTTTTCCTTGTGCACTCCTGAGCTGCAGGGAAGGATTTGTGTCCAGGACAGCAGCTTTAACAACCTGTCTCTCCATTAGCCTTTAGGGGACAAAAATATTTTTCTACAGCACTGACAGATCCCTGATTCAGCTGGAAATGGAGGATAATGTTCAAAACCTCTGGGCTTCGAGCTACAGTCAGAAGCTGGCATGTAAAAACCCAAAATCTCCAAACCAAAAAGCAAATTAACACGACCACAAAGCTGATTATGTGCCAAATGCACTTTATGTTCCAAGTGTCATGGCTTCAGAAGCCAGCACCATAATTTCTGAATGCCTAAATAACAAACTAGAAAGTCTTATGCTTGCAAAGCCCCTCCATATCCCCTGGTAAAATATGGCCTACCAGGCAATTTGGCTAAATGGGTTTTATTTATTTATAGCACAAAACTACCGTAAAAAATATTTTGCCAACATGTCAGTCAAATTGTCCAATGTCAGCACATAACAAACCAACAGGTGTTCCAAGGTTAAGATGCCTTGTATTGACTTTATCTTGTTTTCAAAGCCTCTTTGAGTTCTGTAAAGCCAAATGGGGAAGGTGGGGGTCTTAGGGAGAGGGCCTTGAAATTGGCTGTAACACTGGAAAGTGCATTAGGACATGAAAAAATAGATCAGGTAGAAAGTATTGACATTGGAAACACTGATAGATGTCTCCGACAAAAAAAATTGCAAACTTTAAATACAGTCCAAATCTGATGTTAACTCTCCATTTAAGAAGAAAAGTAACCTTTATTTACTGAGACTCATTTAAAATTCTCCCCAGGAAGAACAGTGTAAACAGATTATAAGCTTTTCCCTCAGGTCCAGAAGAGAAACTGATTTTCTGAGGGAATCCAGAAAACACCTCTTTGTCAAAAATCCCCTTCGATTTAAACAAGAAATGACTGGGAAAAATAAACATAAAAACACTTAAATGGGAGCCCTCACTGAAACAAACCACAGTTAAGTAAAGTAGTTTAGCTACACAAAGTAGGACACCTTTCACTAGGCCACGATGCTCAGAGCTCCATCCAGCCTGGCCTTGAAAAGGCCTTTAAAAAGGCATTCAAACAAATAGATCTAGCCAAGACAAACTATGTTCTGACTAGATTTACTCAGGAAAACGTTCAGAGCTTTTATACAACGCTATTTGTCAAGACTAAAATGCAGCCACTGCAGGGACTTCTCCTGCATGGGTCATTAATTCCAGGATTATGTCATTTGACCAGAGGGTATTATTTCCTATCTTTAAAGGCAGTTTCTGCTGTGGTTTTTTCCTTTGCTCCTTCTCATGGTAGTAGGCATCACATGATGATTTTACATGACTCTTTCATCAGGGAAAAAGGGCTGACATGTCAAGCCAACAGTGCTGTGTCTCACAAAGTAGTTTCCAGGTGGGGTGATGGGGCAGTCGAGGCAGCAACAGATTTTTTTTTTCCTTCAAAAAAATAGATGTGTTGTTGCTGATGGACCAATGGAACATTTTCATTTTACTGCACTACGTAGGGTTTAAATTTGTAAATGAAAATTCATGTGGAGAGATGCTGGGTAGAAATTGCAGAAAAGAAAAGAAAAAAAAATACTCTTACCCATCTTCCAAATATAATTAAAAGATCAAAAGTTTTTTCACTGCCGAGTTTCTTTTAGCTATCAGCTTTGGATAGTTGGCACCTTCTTTTCCCAAGGTAAATGTTATCAGTTACAGAAACAATGGAGTTACTACAAAATGCCTCTGTTGAGTGAGTGGATCGAGTTGTAACTTGCAGCCCGCCTGTTTTTATGGTAATGAGCAAACTCAGCTAAAACACTTGCCCCTGATCTTTTGTGAGGGACTTAACTGAGATAATTACGAGTCGAGAGGCACTGAACTGATGAAACCTGGTTCAGTGGCATCATACCAAGAACACTTAAGAAGTTGTAAAACGCAAGTAGTCACCTAATTCACGGAATTCAGGTTAAAATAAACCTCTTTGTAACTACGCCAATTCAAAGTGAACGATGCCGCCACTTCGAGGTAAAAGGAAACTACGTAGCCAGTCAAAAGAAAAAGCCCCGCTCTCACAATATGACAACTTTATGCGGTATATAAAGCACCTTCCATCCCAAATCTCAGTAAACGCAGAAGGAGCCAGCACGTTTTTATACATCTTTACTAGAAACTCCTCGTGCTTCGAGACAGCTGATGGTTTAGCAACCTGGGTTTAGCCAGTGTTTTGTGATGACTCAGGGAGAAAACAGACCTTCCCACTACTCCCCTTCCCTCTTCTGAGGTAAGAATCCCGCATTTTTTCCCCGGGCGGTGCTGGAACAGAGTCTAATATAAGTAAGCCACTTTTTTTTTTTTCCAACTAGTCATACCATTGAGATCCAGCCACCCACAGACAGAGCCAAGAGTATTCATGCAGGATTCTACCTAATCACAAAAGCACGAGCATTTCTCTGCTGTCAGCTCTGACAAGGCGCGGAGGAGGTTTGATACCTTCTGCCGCCCTCTTTTGCATTCGGAGCAGCTCCCAAATCCCAAAGCACACTCGATAAGGATAGCAACCAAACTTGAATGGGACTGAGGCAATGGCAGATTTTAGCAAGATAAAAAGCAATCCACTTCAGTACAGATGAATGAATGGGCTTCACAAGATTTATCGCTCTGCTGTTGGCCAAACCGATAGCCTTGGAGACTGAAATCACACTGATACCAATACAACTACCAGCTAAAAATAAAAAGCACTTCGTTAAAGCAAGTTGTTTTCACCCATCCCACTCTTCCTCATTCCATAAGTGGAGATGATGGAGTTAGGAACAGTCAAAATCTCCACGAGGCAAATGTAAGCTCGTGGCACCCGCTCAAGTCACACCTTCAACATCAGCAGGTCTTAGGCTGAGCAATCCTACAGCTCAAAGCTGCCCAAGGCAGTTAAAATACCCACTTCAAGCTAAATAGGTCACAGATAGATCCAGCCATGCCAAACTGGTGGTTTAGGCCTC